TTTTTTACTTGAAATTACCTCTGTTTATTCATTGAAAGAAAGATAAAGTAGCGACAAAATAATTCAAATGTCTGTAGAGTAAACAGAATCAAAATATGCTGTTCAGTGATACACCAAGATTTATCTTAAAGAGCATTTATTGTGACAGAATCGAAAATGAAGTAATTTAGTTTCTGTCAATGTGCCACAAAACATTTGGCTTAGAAAAATGTTTGCAATGAAATGAGCTGTCTTTTGTTGAAGAAATTATTGAGGATTTTGCTGCAGACTAAATAAACAGTACAGGCTTATATCTTTGTTTTCCTCTTCCTATACTTTTGGTTAAACAATGACACAGTAATGGTATTTTGTAAATGATGTGCTGGTGCACATGATGTAGATAAATTGTGGGTGATTCCATTTTTAATACATTACTGACTTAATTGTGCTTAAAAAGGAATTATTTATACGTTTAAATGAATGTTTGTTTCTGTTGATGATAAATTTTTTATTGTACTACTAGGATTTAATTTAATTCTAGCAAAAAATATTAAGAGAAATGTGTGCCTGGACTTTACATTATTTATCTAAAAAAAAGTTTAAAAAAAGTGATTAGTTTATTATATTTTGATCAAGCATCATTTTACCAAGTGTTTTACAAGTTGAAAATATAAACCATTCTTAAAAAAATCACCTGACACCTTATTAGCCAGAGATTTAAAAGAAGATCAAGAAATTACAGAATTGTAGCTGTTTTGGTTAAACCTTGAAAATAATATAATGCTTAATCTCACAATGCCATAGGGTTGGTAAATCTCTCCTTATAATATTTGACATCATTGTGAAGCTTGGAGATTCTTCTTTATAATACTTTGTGGCTGGAATTCCCAATGACATCATTCCAGACCAATAAAAATCACGTTTCAAATTGGCACTCTCATAAACAAAACTAGCTTGTTGCCAGATCAGGTGATAAATCACCACATTTAAACAGACTACRTATATGTTTGAAGCCTTTTAGATATAGACTCAAAAAATAATAACTAATATAAAAAATTTCTCATTTTGCCAGCGTGGGCCAGAAATGTWTGCTTGTGCACATGTCAGGAAACAATTAAAAAACTTTAAATGTGAAGAAATGAACAAGGCATCAGATATCCTGATGCATCTCATTAATCCAGGTAAAAAATCAAAAAGAAATAAATTGTATAGGTCCTCTGGACGGGTTCTTCTCTAATGAAACGTTTCGTCTCTCCTCCAAGAGACTTCTTCAGTCTGAGAGTTTCAGGCAAAATTCAGGCTTTTAAGCCCTGCCTCCATGTGACTGATACTCACATCACATGGCTATCGTTGACACCTAATTAACACTTATTGTTAACAGGGGGTGGAGTGATACTGCCAATGGCAGAGCTGTAGGAGGGGGACAACTGAAAATGGAGGCCTCCACCTCTGTTTAATGATGGACGGTCTTTCTTCACAAAAATGGCTTCTTTTGCTCCTCTCTCAAACCAAGGTTCCTCTCTATCAAGAATGAGAACATCCTCATCTCTGAAAGAGTGACCGCTGGCCTGTAAATGAGTGAAAACTGCAGAGTTCTGGCCATTAGAWKTAGCTCGTCTGTGTTGGGACATTCTTTTGAACAGTGGCTGCTTTGTTTCCCCGATGTATAACTGGTCGCAGTCCTCCTGGCACTTAACAGCATATACAATATTGCTCTGTTTGTGCCGGGGCACCGGATCTTTGGGGTGAACCAGCCTTTGCCGTAATGCGTTTTGGGGTTTGAAAGCCACTGGGACATCATGTTTAGAAAATAAACGTCTCAGTTTATTTTGCCTGAAACTCTCAGACTGAAGAAGTCTCTTGGAGGAGAGACGAAACATTTCATTAAAGAAGAACCCGTCCAGAAGACCTATACTATTTTTTTTCTTTTTAAGGCATCAGATAGTTTTTCTAAAGTCTTTGCAAGAGCGTTCAAACTTACAAGACAGGCAAGAAAAAAGCCAAACACTTATTCGAACTAACCAAAGTTTCTTTTTTTTTCTTTATAACTTGATAAATCTGAGATGTTCAGAGTGTGAATCAGAGTCACAAACAGCCTCAGGGCCTGAGGAGTTATACCAGCGTTCAGAGTATTTTATTTAACGTTGGATTTATTTCTGCTGACATGCATAACAAGCTGTGTCACTCAATAAATAATTTAGGTTGTGTTGTTATGAAAACAGAAACAAGTATTTTAGTGATTTTTTTTTTACCTTAATACATCCAGAAATTTAGTTTCCAACCATCAAACACAACAAACTCACACTAATCTTAATATAAACAGCCATACTTGATTCATTTCTCATTTCATTTCCTGTCTCCATATAGCACACCCTTACATAAACAGTCATCAACATTTTTAGGGTTTATGTCGGGAGGGGAATTAATCTATCTCGCATGCAATTCTTAAAATGTATTGTTGGCTTTTTTCAGTAATGTTTCCTATATACAAATATTATTTTGTGCTGGTTTCTCTGTTGCTCCCTACAAACAACAAACAAGAGCAGTTGGGTAAAATCTGCATTTTGTTAAAGGCTCATGTTTGAATTATGGTGACAGAACAAATCCTGGTTTGTCATTATCACTTCCGAGCCTCAAGGCTTGTCAGATTCGCCCCACATTTCTAATTTGTAATTAAAATAAGGCTGTTTGCTTTACTGCTTTTGTGAATATTTCCACAAACAAATGCAGGCAATCAACTAAGTCAGCAACTCATTCTAATGTCAGTTGAAAGTGTCGAGGGCAATTTGTTTGTTTGTAACGATTTAACGAGCAGAGTGATAAACTCCTGCACAAACCGTACTCAGAGCTCGTCTTCCTCATCAAAACTCTCTCAAACTGCAGAGCAGTAAACATGATATCTACCCTTCCTCCTGAACATTTATTTATCTGCTTCTTTTGCTGTCTTACATTATCTTTCTTTGTTTTAAAGGTCACTCTCTTTTGCTTTTGTTGCTTTTTGCCAGTATTATCCTGTATTCTGTCATAGTGGCTCATATTGCAGTAACACGTTTCCACTTGTTCGAGTGTGTGTGCGTGTGTGTGTGTGTGTGTGTGTGTGTGTG